TAGTGACGTCGAAGGTGTAAACCTTCTTTGGAAACTTGTCACTTTTCTCATTTTCAACAATATCTTTCCCTTTCGTGGGAACTAACATTTTGCAGGAGTAAGGTGGGGCCTGTTTTAATTCAGCGAGGTCGATTTCGACCTCTTCGAATTCGAATTCAGGATATTCTTCTACTTCCTCAGTCCCAACATAGGAAACCCTTTCTTTCTTACTATTCTTAAAGACTCTGGCTTTTTCAGCTTTTAGTCTTTCGACCTGTCGAACCCTGTCGGCTAATTGAGCCATATCCCTCAAATACTGAGTATCTAATTTCTTTCGAATAGAATAATCCAAACCCCCAGCGGCCATTTCGACTAACTCATGTTCAGGCACTACTGTGTAACATCTGGATTTTAACAGCCTAAATCTATTCAAATAATCATCTATGGGTTCAGTGAATTTTCTCTTAACACTGGCCAATTCCTTCAAACTTATTTTCGATTGTCCCATGTAAAATTGTTCATGGAATAATCTCTCTAAAAGGGGCCAAGTGTCAATAGATCCGGGAGGCAACGTGGTAAACCAAGTGAAGGCGTTTTTTGTCAAGGAACTTGGGAAGTATTTGATCCTGAGATCTTCATTATTGGCTATGTCTCCCGCTTCGGTTAAATATCTCCCTATGTGTTCGACTGTTGACTCGTTGGTATCCCCAGCGAACTTTGTAAATTTAGGGACTTTGTATCCCCTTGGTAAATCAGTATGCATTATACAATCCAATATAGGAGAAGCGTAATTTGGCCTCCTCATTCCCGTATTGAGGCCATTTTGGGCCATGATCCTCTCTATCATGGTGGTTAGGTTATTTTCTGCCAAGATGTTATCGTTTCGAATCCTATGAACGACGGCATCGGCATCTTGATTTCGACCAACAAAAACAACTCCCCTGGGTTGTTCTTCTCGAATTTCTGGGGCTTCTGGCCTTTCGATCCTTGCCCCTGGTTCCATAACTTCCCTTTGTGGGCCCTGAATTACTGGGGCTTCTAACCTTGGTGCTCTGGCCCCTAAGTTAGCTTCTTCTCTGGGTAGTCTCTGAATTGGGTCGTTAGCAATTCATTCTATAACAGGCATGTTTGTTCGAAATCCCGCCTGGTTCTGCCTACGCCTTTCTGTGGGAGCAAAGAAATCTGCTATTCGACTCATATTGTCAGCGTTTTCCCTGTTCGTCACAGTCACATTCTGAACTATTGGGGCAAATATTTCCTGCATGGTTTGCGCTAACACCCCTATCATGTTGTGGTTGCTGTCATCCATCAATTGCCTAAAAGCCAACTGGTTATCTGTGGTTAGGATAGGCAACGTGCTATAACCTCCTGACCCTTGGTTATTTGTCATAAATTGGTTCGCCCCAGACCCAGATCCTAGTTGTGGGGATGAATTCGAAGTGGAATTGTGTAAACCTGCCATAAAAGATGTTGGCATTCCGTAAGAAGAACTTCTAATTCTATTCCCATCGAAGCCGGGTGGTCTAGTTAATGGTGTGGCTAAATGGGATTGTGTTCCTGGTGGTGGAACGAATCCCCCAGGGTAGCCCATAGTTCCAGTATTTCCTAAGATCGAACTGTTAGTTGATATGCCACTTACTCCAGTGGTGGCTATGTTACTGGTTGAAGATGCAACAGACTGTGCATTCGAAGGGATTACATTAGATGTTCCGCTCGAAATGGACGCGTTAGTGCTTGTTGCATGTGGGTCACCTTGGTTTCCTTGTTGATTGTCTGAATTAGACATTTTGTCCAAACGTTTTCTTCTGGATAAAGGTTGGTTGCTGTTGGTTATCTTACCACTTCTTAGGTTCATAAAACAGCAAATTTCTTATGGTTCCTACGTTTTTGGGATGGCTATGTCTCGACAATCCTTAATTCTGATATCCAACTATTGGTCCCACCAGGTGTGCCAATTTGTTTCCAGTGATTTCTGGTAAACAACCGCTAGTCTTCCAAACTATCGAATAATCTTTATTAACGCTACTCAATCTCTCTGGTAACTCACAGGATCGACTAGATTGATCCTAGGACTCCTTGGATATTAAAGTTACTCTCACAATCGAACAATTATTCATGGTTGCTATTGTACAAGTGTTTGGTTTATTTCGATCCTTCTCTCTAAGAGTTTAAAATTGTGGTCAAATTGTACATGAAAACTAAATTATACGAATAAATGCTAATTGTAATGCTGATTGAAGAGACATATAAAACTGTATGAAAAATGAAGTAAATGATTTCGATTTGCAAAACATTTAACATAAAAGGTTTCTGGAATGTAGAAGTTTAAAATGTGAAGAAAGCGTTTAATGCAATTTTAAGTAAAAGGATGCGTTTGAAAAACAATACTTGGAAGTAAAGGTATTGAAAACGTAACAGTTCTCTGAAATATAAAGTGCTCGAAATATAAAGAAAGCAATAAAGAGTAAAACTTTTGAGGAAAAGACTTTGAAATGAAAAGACGATAAATAAAGAAACTTGTAAATGTTATTCGATAAAAAGAAAAGAGGAAAGTACTGGAAATGGTAAAAAGGCTTTCATTAAGTTAGAAATACATGGTGCTATCATACATACATCTCTCTTGCATTCGTTTCCCTTGCCATGTGGTAGTTTGAATGTTATTGAGTATTTTGTATAACAGATATGACACACTGAAATCCTAATACTAAGACTTCTATTTATACTAATTCGACCCTAACGGTCTCGCTATAGGATCATGCCACGTTTCGAACATGCAAGACAATGCTTCTTTCATCTTTCCACGTGTCCCCAAATGCTCCAACACATAACTTTCAAACTTTGAAAGTCCCGCTTCCATTTAAATTTTAAATGCTTTGGTGTTTCTCCGTTTCGAACGCTCTTCCCAAACCTAGCCTTGCTGTTGTTTCGAGACCCCTTTGGATATTTTCCCATGATCACCGTTCGAAGCTTCAAGCTTTGACACACTCATTCGAAACACTGCTTCTGCAACTTCGAAATATGGTGTTCAATTCCATTTCGATCAGAACTTTTAACTCTTTTGAATTCTAGATAACATTATCAAAATCTTCAGCCAACACTTCGCTGAGTAACTCAAACTGTGACTAAAATGTCGAACCACACTTGAACGACGAGAGCAGTCAATCACATTTGCTACATTGCATTATTATTTTCTTTTTTCGTTGTTGCATCAGTAAAATGTGAAATTACTCAAAACAACAATGATAGTAAAATTACATTACCTGCGAAATTATATTACATTTTTTATTTTATTTTAGAAATACATTACCTGCTAATTTATCGGTAGACTTTGAATGTTGCAGGTTTACCTGCAAATTTACATAATTTGCAAAGATTTTAGCTGGAAACTAGAAGCAGCAGGAAATCTATTTCCTACGGATTTTAAACACAAATCCACAGGTATTTTTAGTAGTGATAATTTGAGAGAATTTAAAATTGACACTATAACATTTATTTTTCTTTAACACCATTTTTAAGGTAACATGTAATAAAAATTGCTTAAAAGAATTCTGATAATGATCGAAGCCAATCAACAATGGCAATATTTGACAAATGACTTGTTCGATTTTTGTGAAAATTTTAGAGTTGTATATTTTTTAACAAAAGATTATAAACTTTAAGTGATGCATAATAATTTAATATTAATAAATATTTTGACGAATGAGTTTGATCAATCTAAACTCATTCTCATTTGTCGAATAGAAGTGAGAGATGATGTGTTCCATTATAACCGATTAGAAGAGACGGTTAAAGAGAATAAATATTTTCTCTATATTGGGGGAGTTATTAGGAGCATTGATATAAAGTTGAAGATTATGCATCTTTATGAGAGACACACCACTTATCCACCTACAACCTTAAGGTGATAGGTGAGTGAATTCTCCCATTTATATATATGCTCAAGTCTCCATATTTCTATCTAATGTGAGACTATTTCTCCGCTTACTCACACTTGCATTATTATTCTAACATTTTCCCTCAAGTGTGAACTTCCGCTCTAGACACTTGTACCGCCTTTACCTCTTCTTGGACAACGAGACACCTCTTCTTGGACATTTCAATACTAAGTCGGTCTCTTTCTCGAACCAAAGGCTCATGATACCGTTTGTTGGAGGAGTTCACTAAGAGCATTGATACAAAATTGGGGATTATGCACCTTTGTGAGAGATACATCACTTATCTTCTTAAAACCTTAAGATTTTAGGGGATCAAGTAGTGTGTCTCACACAAAGGTGTCTAGTCCTATACTATGTATTAATGCTCCCTAGTGAACTCTCCTAAGAAGAGGTGTCCTGTTGCAAGATGTCAACGACGGTACAAGTGTCTAGAGATGGAACATTGTAGACTCGCACTTGAGGGGTGTTAGAATAATAATGCAAGTTGAGTAAGTGGAGAAATAGTCCTACATTAGATAAGAATGTGGTGACTTGAACATTAAGTGGGAGAACCCACTCACCTATCACCTTAAGATTGTAGGTGGATAAGTGGTGTGTTGTTATGGGTGAGAAGGGTCCAATTGAGGAAAATAATGTTAATGGGGAAGGGAATGCTGACATGGCAAAGAAGAAGGAAGTGAGGCGCAGTAATAGAATCAAAGGAAAGCATCCAAGGTGGACCCAGTTTGTTAGTGAGTGAGAGAATATTAGTAGTGGGTAGCTCAAATTATGTGGTGTGAATTTTGTATGAGATTATTCTCTCTCTCTCTCTCTCTCTCTCTCTCTCTCTCTCTCTCTCTCTCTCTCTCTCTCTCTCTCTCTCTCTCTCTCTCTCTCTCTCTCTCTCTCTCTCTCTCTCGTATTCACTACACAAAAGAGAGATTGTACTCTCTTTATCTTTTTCCTCTATTCCTTTTATTTTCATTACTATTAAGGCTCTGCACTTGAACATTATTTCATTCACCTATTATTTACCTCACTTTTGCCTGCTATTGGATACTGAGAAATCAATTGAACTGTCATTACATTGGTGCTTTCATCATATTCATGGCCGACAACACCAGAATGAAGGAGCTTGCAGCTGAGGTTAAACGCCAAGGCGAAGTTTTAGAGAAGAACGAACAGTCAAATGCAGCTCGTTTTGCGAGAATGGAGACGATGCAGTTATCACCGGAGTCACGCTTTGTGGAGTTGTCGAAATCTATGGAAATGATGCTGAAACAGATGCAAGCTCTCAATGTCACCCATGGAAGCACGAACTCAGCGTCTCAGACATCAACCATATCTCACTCATCATCGTCGGGACATGCGGCTCCAACACCTCCATTTCATGTTCGCAACATTAAGCTGTAATTTCCAAGGTTTAATGGTAAGAATGTCCTCGATTAGATTTTTAAGGCTGAACAATTTTTTTGTTATTATCATACTCCAGATCCGAAGAGATTGATTATCGCTTCTGTCCACCTAGAACAAGAAGTTGTTCCGTGGTTCCAAATGGTTACTAGATCTCAACCATTTCAATCATGGCATGATTTTACACGAGCTCTTGAACTGGATTTTGGTCCTTCAATTTATGATTGCCCAAGAGCATCTCTGTTTAAATTGCAACAAACAAAATCTGTTAATGATTATTACCTTGAATTCACTGCTTTGTCTAATCGTGTTTATGGATTAAGCAATGATGCATTAATTGATTGCTTTGTAAGTGGATTGAAATAAGAAATTTGTAGAGATGTTATGTTGCATTGTCCTATTTCAATTGTGAAGGCTGTGTCTATTGCCAAGTTATTTGAGGAAAAATTGACTGCTCAGAAATTTGTGTCTGCTCCACAGAAATCGGTTTATCACCCTAATAGAACTCACTTCAATCCAACCAGAAATGACCAAACACAAACTACCGAAAAAAGCCCCCAACCCACCCTTACTTCCCACACCACCTACTAGACCTATGAGCCAATTCCAAAAGAACCCTGCAATCAAAAGGATTTCTCCAGCAGAGATGCAATTGAGAAGGGAGAAAGGCTTGTGTTACTTTTGTGATGACAAATTCTCTTTTTCACATAAGTGCCCAAACAAGCATTTGATGTTATTGGAGCTGAATGACGATCCTGAATATCTCAATTCACCTAGCTCAGCAGACATAAATAATAGTACAACCGAGTCTAAAGAGATGACAGAGCACCACTTATCTTTTAATGCTTTCCATGGAGCTACAGGAATGGGTGTGATCCGATTTAAGGGCTATATTGGTCCTATTTGTGTTTTGATTCTGCTTGATGGAGGAAGCTCAAACAGCTTCATTCAACCACGTATTGTTAAGTTCCTAAATTTATATGTGGAACCAACTAACGGGTGCAAGGTTCTGGTTGGAAATGGACAAAACATGAAGACTGAAGATGTGGTCAAGAAATTGTCTCTAAAGATACAGGGCATTGAGGTTACTGTGCCTGCTTATCTCTTGCCTGTATCAGGGGCGGATGTCATCCTAGGTGCCCCATGGTTAGCTTCATTGGGACCTCATGCAGCTGACTATGCTACATCCATGTTAAAATTTTACCTAGAGGTAAAGTTTGTCACATTACAAGGTGAAGTCAGTAACAAGCCGGTTGTCGCACTAAATCTTTTCAAGAGATTAAACCAAATGAATGCAATTAGTGATTTGTTTACTATCCAAAAGATTGATCCTGTTGTTCTAGAAGATAATTGGAATGGCAGACCCGTTGATCTTGATTCGGAAATGAGTACATTGTTGCATACATAGAGAGATATTTCAAATACCTAAAGGACTACCTCCCACGCGAGGATTGAGTCATGAGATATTATTGAAAGAATGAGCACAACCTGTGAAGGTGAGACCCTATAGATATCCACATAGTCAGAAACAACAAATTGAAAAGATGGTGCAAGATATGCTTGAAGACGGTATAATCCAACCAAGTCTCAACCCTTTTTCATCCCCAATTATTTTAGTGAAGAAGAAAGATGGAACTTGGAGATGTTGTACGGATTATAGGGCTTTGAATGCTATAACTATCAAGGACAGTTTTCCCATGCCTATTGTGGATGAGTTACTTGATGAGTTACATGGAGCAAATTTTTTTCTAAGCTTGATCTTCGTTCTGGTTATCACTAGATACTTCTCAAGCAAGAGGACAGACAGAAAAAGGCTTTTAGAACTCACCAAGGTCATTATGAGTGGTTAGTGATGCCGTTCGGACTTACCAACGCACCCGCTACATTTCAACGACTTATGAATTAGTTATTCCAATCGTTGTTAAGGAAGTGCGTTCTAGTTTTCTTTGACGACATACTAGTTTATAGCCCTTCATGGCAATCACATTTACAACATGTAGAAACTATGTTTCAGATATTAAGTCAGAATTGTTAGAACAAAGTTTGAATCTACTACCCTATATTTAAGTTTTGATGATAACAAAGTGAAAAGATACATTATTTATATGATTCATGTATGAACTATCTGCTGCCTAAATTATTACATTCTGATTTGCAGATACTCTGATTGATATAAGCAAGATCACACCTAATCAGCATCAGAGATTTGGTTCCTGACATCAGCATCAGAAGTTGCCATATCAGAATGTCAGTATCAGAAGATTAACTCACGTATATGCTGAAGTCTGATGAACAGAACTGCGCACAACACTCTAATAAAGAAACATAACAGTTCATCAGCAGCTAAGCAGAGTCAGAATGAGCCAAGCCAGAACTTGCATTAAGTAAGCAACGGTACTGTGCATTGAAAGCAAATTAATACCAACGGCCTCATTCCAGACAAGATCTGCTCGATAAGGAAAGTTTGTTATTAGCATTGAATCAAGAATATTGCTCCAACGTTCAACATCTCAGTGCTATATAAACAGGACTTTGAAGATTGAATTGGCAAATGCTCTCCAAATCTTTACACGCATAAAAGCTGATCAAAATCTTCCTTCTCTCAGTTTGCTAAACACTACACATTCTGATATTCTATCATTGTTTAGCAATCTAGTTTCTAAGCTTTAAGTTGTGTATACATCACAGTTGTGATACAGTTTTATAGAAAACATTCACACACTTAGATTTATCTTCTTTGTAAGAAAGTGTTTCCTTGACAAACCGGGTTGTGGTTTGCATCAAGAAGGCTTTAGAAGTTGTTAAAGCAGTCTGTAATATTCAGTTGAATATAGTGGATTAAGACCTCGTTGGAGAGAGGCGAAATCACCTTGACGGGTGGACTGGAGTAGTTTGAGATCAAACGAACCAGGATAAAAATATCTTGTTCATTGCATTGATTTTCAGTTTTACAATTCAACCCCCCCTTCTTGTGTTTTTCACTACTTCAAGAATGTGTTGTACGTGAAACTTTCCAAATGTTCATTTGGTTTATCAGAAGTGGAGTATCTGGGTCACATAGTTTCTGGTGCTGGTGTCTCAATGGATAGAACAAAAGTTCAAGCAGTGTTAGATTGGCATACTCCAACGACTTTGAAACAATTAAGAGGATTTCTTGGGCTTACCGTATATTATAGAAGATTTATCAAGTCCTATGCGACCATAGCCGATCCTCTCACCAATTTTTTGAAGAAAGATGATTTTAAGTGGGATGAAAATACTCAAACAACTTTCGAGCAGTTAAAAATGGCGATCACTTCAGCACCTGTTTTAGTGCTACCAGATTTTTCACAAGTATTCATACTTGAGACAGATGCTTCGGGTACAGGTGTGGGAGCAGTGCTAAGTCAAGGAGGGCACCCCATAGCTTTTTTTTCTAAGAAGATGGTTCTGAGAATGCAGCTGCAATCCGCGTATACAAGAGAATTTTATGCTATTACAGCAGCTCTAGCTAAGTTTTGGCACTACCTACTTGGTCATAAATTCATTATAAGAACAAACCAAAAGAGCTTGAAAAGTCTGCTAGACCAATCTCTCCAAACCCCTGAACATCAAGTGTGGCTTCACAAATTCATTGGATTTGATTTCCAAATCGAATATAAGCCAGGGAAAGAGAATCAAGCAGCTGACGCATTATCTAGAATAATGTCCTTGTCTTTGTCATCACCGGAGTGTGAGTTTTTAGATGCGTTAAAGAAACAAAATTTTTGAGGATGTGCATTTGAAATTAATAGTACAACAATGCCTTCATGATAATGTGAACCACGACAATTATTCCCTAAAAGAGGGCTTCTTGTATTGGAAACACAGGTTGGTAGTTCCCGCTGAGAGTTGTTTAATTCAAACCATTCTCAAGGAATATCATGACACACCTATCGGGGGACACGCGGGAGTGACCAGAACTCTTGCAAGGGTTGTGTCTCAGTTCTATTGGCCTAATATGCGACAACATGTGCAAAAATTCATTGAAGCTTGTATCATATGCCAATAAGCTAAGTCTATCAACACTCCTTATGCTGGCTTGTTGCACCCACTGCCGATTCCGGAGCAGGTGTGAGAGGATATCTCGATGGATTTTATTACTGGCTTACCTCCTTCTTCTGGTTTTACTGTTATCATGGTAGTGGTCGACCGACTAAGTAAGTATGCACATTTCATGCCTATGAAATTAGATTACTCTAGTAAGACAGTCGCAGAGACATTTATGCATAATGTTGTTAAGCTACATGGAATGCTTAAGTCAATAGTTTCTGACAGAGATAAGATATTCACTAGTAAATTCTGGCAGCATCTATTCCAATTACAGGGCACAACATTAGCGATGAGCTCAGCTTATCATCCGCAAACGGATGGCCAATCCGAAGCTGTCAATAAATGCTTAGAAATGTATTTGAGGTGTTTTTCTTTCAAGAATCCAAAGGATTGGTCCAAAGCTCTCACTTGGGAAGAACTGTGGTATAATACAGCGTGGCACTCAAGTTTGGGAATGTCTCCATTCAAAGCATTATATGGGAGAGAACCTCTTATGCTAACCCGTTACAATGTTAGCAATGCTGATCCTATGGAGCTGCAACAACAGTTAACAGAACGCGATAGAATTCTACTGCAGTTGAAAGAGAATTTGGGGAGAGCTCAACAAGTGATGAAGAACAATGCTGATAAGAAAAGAAAAGATGTTTCTTTGGAGATTGGTGATCAAGTGTTAGTCAAATTGCAGCCTTATAGACAATCTTCGGTAGCTTTGAGAAAGAACAATCAGTTAGGGATGAGGTACTTTGGTCCATTCAATATTATTGACAAAATTGGTGTAATAGCTTATAAGCTTCAATTGCCGGAGACAGCTCGTATACATCCGATATTTCATGTATCCCAATTGAAAGTGTTCAAAGGACTCACTGCAGTACCATACTTACCATTACCATTAACTACAGTGGAAGAAGGATCTGTGATTCAGCCATCAACGGTATTGAATACGCGAAGATTTCTTAAAGGAGACCAAGTGGTGGAACAGGTGTTGGTGAAATGGAAGGATATGCCAAGTCATGAGGCAACTTGGGAAGACAGAGAAAATGTTGCAGACTTATCCAAACCTCAATCTTGAGGACAAGATTGTGCTTGAAGGGAGGGTAATGTTATGGGTGAGAAGGGTCCAATTGAGGAAAATAATGTTAATGAGGAAGGGAATGCTAACATGGCAAAGAAGAAGGAAGTGAGGCACAGTGATAGAATCAAAGGAAAGCATCCAAGGTGGACCCAGTTTGTTAGTGAGTGAGAGAATATTAGTAGTGGGTAGCTCAAATTGTGTGGTGTGAATTTTGTATGAGATCATTCTCTCTCTCTCTCTCTCTCTCTCTCTCTCTCTCTCTCTCTCTCTCTCTCTCTCTCTCTCTCTCTCTCTCGTATTCACCACACAAAAGAGAGATTGTACTCTCTTTATCTTTTTCCTCTATTCCTTTTATTTTCATTACTGTTAAGGCTCTGCACTTGAACATTATTTCATTCACCTATTATTTACCTCACTTTTGCCTGCTATTGGATATTGAGAAATCAATTGAACTGTCATTACATGTGTCTCTCACAAAGGTGCATAATTTTCAACTTTGTATCAATGCTCCTTAGTGAGTTCCTCCAACAAATGATATCATGAGTCTTTAGTTCGAGAAAGAGACCGATTTAATATCGAAATGTCTAAGAGATGTCTCATGTCCCAGGAAGAGATAATAACAGTACAAGTGTCTAGAAAAAGAGTATTTAAAGTGAAATAACTTCTTTCCTTCCCACTTTCCGGTAGATGAGATGAAATCGTTGTCTTCAAGTCCAGACTCGAGAAATCTCTATAAATAACTCGGTCTTACTGTTAAAAAAAAAAGACAAATCTTTCATTTCACGAATATAGAAAATATATAACTCTAATCCTGCGATAAATTTTAAAAACCTCTAACGAGTGGCTCCGCCATATTGGGACGGGGTGGGGTCATGGCCACCCAAAATAATTAAATAGGTATATTGTGCTATTTTATATAAAATAAAATGTTTTATATTTTATAATGTAATACAATTAAATGTATTTAGACAAGTGTAAGCCTCAAGTGTTAGAAATTTGATTGTCAAGATTGTGGGATTGAATCCTGTTTTATTATATATATATATATATATATATATATATATATATATATATATATATATATATATATATATATATATATATATATATATATATATATATATATATATATATATATATATATATATATATATATATATATATATATATATATATATTATTAAAAAAAATCCCCTTCAACACTTTCAACCTACCTCCGCCAGTGCCTCTAACCTCTAACATGTGTCTCGTATTGTATTATTACAAATACACTTCTTATTTTAGTTTCAAATAAATCATTCCACTCTTTGATTTCCAATAGTTAGTCATACAACTTAATTAGTCAAAGATCTAACTTTAAATAAAATTCGTTCTGACTTTTCTACATGTTGAACCGGCAAATAGCATGCGATACAATTCCCTTCTTTGACTTAGTTTACGCTGAAACATTCTAGAAAAAGACACAAACTACATTGACAAACGAACAGAACTTGGTTAACAAAGTCATGCAAAACATCATCATAATTAATGCTTGAAAGACAAGCAACACCAAACAATGCCTTTTATATATTATGATATATCTTGAATACATTGTCACCTAAACCAAACTACTCATATGGCTTCTAAAATAACCTCTCTTATTTGGGTTGCCCTCATTCTTTGTGTGTTTTCGTTGTTTGCCATCAAACTAGCTGGTGCTTCTGAGCTTCATCCAAGTAAGTCATCAAAACGCCCACTTATATCTCTTAAAAAAACCACTTATATTCAATTGTTTTTCTTTGAACATTTTTGTCTATATATTCTATTAAGTTAATTATGTTTTTTTACTTATATAAAATGCAGGTTTTCTAAGTTTATATAAATTTATATTTTTTTAGCTTCAAATTTTTTTCACACAATTTCTAGATATTTTATATGAAGTCAAGGTGTATCTAAATGATTTTCTGCAGATATATTTAATATATTTATAAAAAGCTATTTTGCAAAAAAATAATTTTAAAATTTAATTCTTAAATCTAGATTATTGTTAGATTTATGCTACATCTTTGTAATTCATCGATTATTAAAAAAATGAATTTTAATAAATAAACTTTTTGTGTTATTCTAAATTATCGCCAAAAATAAGAGTTTAAAAAAGATTACGTAAATTTAATTTACCCAAAACTAAAACTGCCTGCAGCTTTTTTTTGTAAATTTTAAATTTAAGAGCTTAAGAATAATTGTATATTGGTGTGAAGAAAAATATCATCATATATATTTCTATTCTTAGAAGGAAATAATGCGCCAATGGGTTAGGGGGTTATGGTTTAATTAACATGTAATGCTTTTTTTTGGAGCTAGAGTTTATTAGATTATATGATTCTGACTGGATATTCTCCATTGAAGATTTAATATTCTCCTCTATATTTATCTTGGTCTCCTAGTAGGTGTTAATCCCCGAGTTGAATCCTCTTGAGAACCTTTGATCAATCTCATATGTAGGAGGTTGGTTACCTAGCGGCATATGTATGTTAGTTTAGAGGGTAAAATGGTTTGGTTAAACTTGGTCCTTAATTATGTACTAGTTTTCTATCTTTTCTTTTTGAATGTGTTAGTTTAGGTGTGGAAGAGAATTGTGAGTATTCAAAAAAGATTCATATATGAGTGAGATGGAAAGTGAAGTTAAATTTCTTGAATTTGTTGGTGTCATGTTTGTAAACCTAAAAGTCTTGGAGGGTTGGGAGTTTGAGATTTCAGCTTAATCAACTTAGCTTTGCTAGGTAAATATTGTTGGAGATTGTTATCTCAAGCTATTGGGTTGTGGGTGGATATCTTATCTTCTAGATGCAGTGCCCATGCGATTTGTTTTTTGAGCGGAGGTGGGTTATCCAATCTTTTCTTAACTTTGTCTTGGTTGAAGAAAGTCTTTTTCTTAGGCTCTAAAGCTAGTGATTCTTTTGATTAGTTTGTGGAAGTTAGTAGAAGACTAAGGGATGCTCTTAATATCTTATTTTGGGATGATTATCGGGTAGGACCAATTCCTTTTTTTGAGAGAGGTTTTATATATAGGATTTTTCTACTTGACCGTAATCAAAGTAGGTAAGTAGGAGAAGTGGTGGTGTCCGATGAGGGTCAGTTGAAGTGGAGATTCCAATGGAGGATATCTTCCCTTAAGTGGGAGTATGAGTTATTGGATAGATTTTTCCAAGTTTCACAAAGGGTCAAGCTTGTTAGAAGTTGTAATTCCTATTATGTCGAAGTACTTGGAATAGTATGTCAAATTGTTTTGGGCTTGGGCTTTGTAACCCTAAATAAAGGGTTGGGTAGTTTGTAATATGTACACACACAATTCATTTTTAAAATAGATAAATTCATAACGTTGATTTACACTATCTTCTCCTTTTTCTCTTCACTCATCTTTCTTGAAAACACTTTGTTCCAACAAATTAGTATCATAGAGCTCGGTTGCGATTCAGAGAGAATCTAATGACAAACGAAACAACAACGTCAATGCAATTTCCGGCGAATATACCGGTTTTCAAAAGTAAAAACTATCAATGGTGGGTTGCACAGATGAAGGTTATCTTCAGATTTCAAGATGTTGTTGAAATCTTGAAAGATGGATTACCAGAACTGGAAGCAGATGCAACATATGCTCAAAAAGCTGCGCACAAGGATCAAAGAAATAAAGATGATAAAACATTGTTCTTGATTCACCAGTGTGTGGATTCTAATGTGTTTGAGAAGATAATTGAAGAAGAAACAACAAAAGGAGCTTGGAAATAGTTAAAGAACTTGTATAATGGAGATGAGAAATTGAAAAAGGCTAAGTTATAGATATTGGGGAAGCAATACGAGATGATTGATATGAAAGAAGATAAATCGGTCTCTACATACTTCTCAAGAATTGTGACGTTAACGAACCAGATGAAGACATATGGTGAATCAGTTACAGATCTGCAGAAGATTGAGAAAGTGTTGAGATCACTGACTATAGGTTTCGATTACATTGTAGTGACAATTGAAGAGACCAAGATTCTATCTGAGATGAAGTTAGAAGATCTTCAAGCTTCTCTAGAGGCTCATGAGATGAGGTTGAAGCAGAGAAGCTCAGAAAGAGAGAAGGTGGATGAACATGCACTGCAATCAAGGTTCATCAAGAAATCTGGTAAAGAGAAGTCGAAGCAGCGAAAGAATCTTTCTAGTGATAAGAAGTCAAGCAAGAATACTGATTCGATCAAGAAAGGTATGTGCAATAGGTATTCTGGGGATAAAGTTGACACAAAAGAGGTGCACTGTTACAACTGTCAAGGTTTTGATCACTATGCTCGAGACTGTTGAAGAAGGAAAGTATCAAGGGCGAAAGATAACGATGAAGCTCAATATGCACGAGTTGGAGATAGTGATTCTGATGATGTGCTATTGATGGTTAACACTCAATCGAACACTAAGAAAACTAACATGTGGTATTTGGATTTAGGATGCAGCAATCACATGACTAGAAATAAAAACTCATTTACCAAGTTAGATGAGTCAGTCGAAAAGGTGATAAAGTTTGCAGATGGAAAACACATCAAATCAGATGGTAAATAAGATATTTCAATTGTCAGAAAGGATGGTCGAAAGGTCACCATCACTGAATTTCTGTATGTACCTTCTATGAAAAGTAACTTGTTAAGTGTAGGTCAATTACTTGAAAAAGGTTACAATATGAAACTAGAAAAGAATCAAATGAAGGTATATAGGGCTGATAGGAGGATGATAATGAAAGCACCATTGGCAAAAAACAAAACATTCAAAGTTGAACTTAACACATCAGATCACAAGTGCCTTGTTTCAACTACATAAGAAGACAAGAACTGGTTGTGGCACCACAAGTATGGACATCTAAACTTCAGAAGTTTAGGTATGCTCAACCAAAAAAGGATGGTATTTGGGTTACTTTATGTAAAGGAACTAAAGTAGGTGTGTGAGGAATGTTGCAAAGCAAAGCAGGCTAGGAAAGCATTCAAACATGACTTACCCATGAAATCAAAGCAAAAACTGGAGCTGGTTCATTCTGATGTGTGTAAACCTTTCGAAGTAAAGTCAAATGGAGGTAACATGTATTTTCTTACTTTCATTTATGAATTCACCAGACATATGTGGATTTACCTTATTGAAAGGAAGCGTGGGGTATTCACACTATTCAAGAAGTTGAAATTGCATGTTGAGAAACAAAGTGGATTCAAGTTGAAGAAGTTAAGAACTGATGGCGGTGGTGAATATACTTTTGTTTAATTTGCTAGATTTTGCAATGAGGAAGGTATAGAGCATTAGGTTATTGCATTATATACACCTCATTATAATGTCATAGCTGGGAGAAAAAATAGAAGTATACTGAACATGATAAGAATTATGTTGAAAGCTAAAGATATGCCTAAGAAATTTTAGGCTGAAGCAGCTTCGACAACAATATGAATTCTAAACAGGTGTCCGATGAAGAAGATGGTCGAAAAAACACCTTATGAGGCTTGGACAGGGTCGAAGCCAAATGTAAGTCATCTTAGATTTTTTGGATCAATGTGCTTCAGGAATGTACCTGAACAATTGAGAAAGAAACTGGATAATTGAAGTGAAATCATGGTACTCATAGGTTATCATTTGACTAGTGCATACAAGTTGTATTCACCAAACAATGATAAACTAGTGATCGGTCGAGATGTTCTTGTGGATGAAAGCAAATGGTGGGACTGGATTCAAGGTTCAATTCGACAGGAATCATATATCGTCACAACTGTGTTTGAAGAAGATCAACAAGATGAGGCTTCGACCATTAGAAATGAACATGATGATATTTTAACCAGTCGAAATGAAGAACCACCTGAGCAGAATGCGAGAAGGTCGATAAGAACAAGAACTGAGTCAACAAGGCTAGTTGGATATGAAAGATTTCCAGATCAAGCAGTTAATGCAGATGGTGACTTAATCAAAGAAGCCGTGATGATGGCCGAAGCAGAACCAATTGATTTGGATCAAGTCAAGAGTAGTTCGAATTGGTGTGAAGCCATGAAAGAAGAACTCAGAGCAATTGAGAAGAACAAGACCTGGGATCTTGTCGAAAGAACTAATAAGAAGCCAATCGACGTAAAGTGGATTTACAAGGTGAAACAAAGACCAAATGGTGAGATTTCCAAGAATAAAGCAAGACTAGTGGTGAGAGGTTTTCTACAAAAACCTGGTATCGATTTTGACGAAGTCAATGCACCTGTTGCAAGGCTAGAAACAATCAAAATTATTATTTTGACATCATCATATAGAGGATGAAAGATACATCAATTGAATGTAAAGTCAACATTTTTTAATGGACCATTGGAAGAAGAGGTCTATATTAGTCAACCACCAGGATTTGACATCAAAGGGTAGGAATCCAAGATATATAAATTAAGGAAGGCTCTCTATGGTTTGAAACGAGCTCCTAGAGATTGGAATAAAAGAATAAATAGCTTCCTAATCAAAGCAGATTTCACAAAGTGTGTCTCTGAACATGGAGTATATGTAAATGATATCGAAAGTGCTAGTCAAATTATTTTATGCCTTTGTGTAAATGATTTACCAATTACAGAAGCAGACGAAGCTGAGATAATGAAAGTCAAATCGAAACTAATGCGGGAATTTGAGATGTTCGACTTAGGGAATCTTTCATATTTCCTAGGGATGAAATTCAAAGATACTGAAGAAGGAGTATTTTTGCACCAAACGAAATATGCCCAAGACATACTAAAGAGGTTCAATATGAGGAACTGCAAGGCAGTTGTCACTCCGTTAGAAACTGGATCAAAGTTGAAAAGGGAAACAAATGATGAATTTGTAAGTTCGACACTATACAAACAAATCATTGGATCCTTGAGGTATCTTTGCAACACTAGACCCGATATTTATCAAAGTGTTAGATTTTTGAGTCAATTTATGGAGAAACCTCAAGAGTGTCATCTCATTATAGTGAAAATGGTGCTAAGATACATAAAGGGAACAATTGATCATGGTGTGTTGATGCCAAGGAAATCGAAGAACATCACATATTTAGAATTTCATGGATACACTGATTCAGATTTTAGTGGAGATCAAGACGAAAATAAAATTATTATTGGCTATATTTTAATGATCGAAGATGCTCCAATCTCATGGAGCTTAAGGAAGCAAAGCATTGTGGCTTTGTTATCATGTGAAGCGGATTATGTGGTTGCATCATATGCTGCATGCCAAGCAACATGAATCGAAATGCTGCTTGAAGAACTCAAGATAATGGAATCTAAGAAGATGAAGCTATTTGTCGACGACAAGTCAGCAATCGACCTAGAGAATCACCTAGTCTGTCATGGTCAAAGTAAGTACATAGAAAAGAGATATCACTTTCTGAGGGATCAAGTCAACAAAGGGAAGTTGGAGCTAGAGCATTGCAAGACAGAAGTACAACTACCTGACATACTTATCAAACCTCTGAATAAAGTTAGATTTGATGAGTTAAAGAGAAGCATCGAGATGAGAAGTCTCGAGAACATGAGTTAGAGGGTATGTTAGAAGTTGTAATTCTTGTTCTATCGAAGTACTTAGATTAGTATGTCTAATTGTTTTGGGTCTGGGCTTTGTAAGCCTATATAAAAGGTTGAGTAGTTTCTAATATGTACACACACAATTAATTTTTAAAACATAGAAACTCATAACATTGATTTACTCTTTCTTCTCCTTCTTCTCTTCACTCATCTTTCTTGAAAATACTTTGTTCCAACAAAGTTCTTTCATGTTAGTGATTGTTTGTGGTGGCAGTTGGCAAATAATGTGATCTACTTGGTTGCTTCAGCATATAGCTCCATCATAAAGGATAAGAATCTCTCTAATATTTCCCTTAATGAGAGGGATCATGTTGTGTCTTCTATCCGGGTCAATTGGGTTCCTTCCAAAAAAATTGTTTTCTCTTGACAACTACTTTCAAACAAGCTCCATTCTAAAGAAAATCTGGCTAAGCATGAGATTTTCTTAGATAATGTATGTGTGTCTTGTAGTCTTTGTGGGGGTGTTACATAGTCGATATCTCATTTATTTTTCATTTGTGATATATGTTTGATTGTGTGATATATGACTTTTAGATGGATGAGGTAGTATGTTATTATCAATAGGGACATTTGGTTGATTTTTTAGTCATTTGGTGATTTAGGAGTTTTAGTTAAGTTATTTGGGGTTTTTTGATTGTCTGACATGTTGTGGTCTGAGTTATTTGAAAGTAACAATGGTAAGATTTTTTCAGTTAAAAATTTTAACATATAGGACTTAGAGGTGACGAGCATCACTTTGGCATAAAAATGGTATTAGAGTAAGTCTTCAAATTACTCCCACCCTTTCTCTGTGTAGCTGGAGAATCCTACAGTCATTATGAGTCAATAATAACTTTGAGTGTCTTTGATCGTGGTTAGGAGGAGTATCTTTCCCATTCCTTTGAAGATTTCTTTTTCTAAATGCTTGTGTTCTTCGTGGTGGAATCTAGTTGTGGTATTTTTGAAGCTTAATTGGTTGTTGTATGTTCATGTAGTGTGATGTTTTAGAGGTTATCTTTCTTTGGAGTTTTTTTTTTTTTTTTTTAATTTGTTGTTGTTTTGTTTAATCTTTATTGGACATATTTTGTGTCGATTAAATGTATATTATTACTTTCTTATTAATATATTTTGTCAATAAAAAAATTACATATTTGATTTTCAAAATAGTTATAACAAAAACCAAAGCATTTTATAATTTGATGATTTAAATCGATTGACAAATAAAAAACCTCTACAATGTAATCGTATATAAATTATACAAATCCATAATGTTTGTGGTATTTGATATAGGATTGTATGAAATGGCTAGGAGTAGAAGGCTCATTGGAGAAGACCAGGCAGATCCAAATAGGATATGTGAGACTGGGAAATCAAGTCTTATAGATCAAAACAAACAAGCATCTGATAACCCTCGTTGTGGCAATTACGCCCATCCATGATAATGATATTGTGTCATAACCCTCCTATTTTTATAATCTGCTTTTGAATAATAGGCCTTAATTATTTTATGTGTCGATCTATTTTTTTAAGTTTGGATATCAACTTTTATTTTTTAGTTTATCTATTAATATTTGAAGTTGTATCTATTTTCATAGAGGCATTCCTTAAATGCGTAAAATTAGGGTTTAAACCTTTTTTATTTACATGAGATATATATTTTGGAACAAAAACTCACTCCAGCTTATTAGAACTCCAATTCACTTGATATTCACCGATCTCTTATTCTAACTCGAAACAAATAGTATACAACTTAATCTAATTTATTAAAAACTATATAAAAAGCTAACAATTATTTTAGGATGATAAAGTAAGAAATTGGTAATTATTTGATACATATAGAAATTGATAATATGTATGGTTACAATTTTGGGTCACAAATGTAACATTTAAGATGTTAGTGTTATTATTTTAATTAGTCAAGACTTAAAAGATCTAATTAATATAATATTAAATTTATAGTTAAAAATATAAATTTTTGTGTAGATACTATAAATCAATATCTAATTTGATGATGGGTTAAATTAAAATATTGAATACTAAAAAATAACTTTAAAGTTATTTATAAAGATTACGAATTCTCTCTTCATTTCCATAAGAGGAGAATCAAAGAGTCATAAAGAATTCTATATATCGGAAGATCAAATATCTACAAACTTTCGGTGATTTTCAACGACAAATTTAGATATGTTTTCGATTTCATTCTCATAATTGTATTTGGGTATGAGTTTAAGGTTTTTATTTATAGTACTTTTCTTGATTTCAATATTGATAATAATTACTGTTGAGAATCAAGTCACTACGCCAAAAAAGACCTACGAAAGCGCTTTCTAAGGTGGCGCTGCTATAGGTTTTAGCAGCGCTTTTTGTTTAATGAAAAGCGCTTTCGTAGGTCTACCTATGACAGCGTTTTTTCTAAAAAGCACTCTCTTAAGTACTCTTTTGGCAGCGCTTTTTCTAAAAAGCGCTCTCTTAAGTAGGCTTTTGGCAGCGCTTTTTCTAAAAAGCGCTCTCTTAAGTAGGCTTTTGGCAGCGCTTTTTTATGAAGAAGCGCTTTCATTGGTGGTGCTTTTTTCTGGAAAAGAGCTTTCATAGGTTGTCTTTTAGCAGCGTTTTTTCCTGGGAAAGCGTTGTCATATGTTTACCTTAGACAGCGCTTTATGTGAAAAAGCGTTTTCATAGGTCTACCTATGAAAGCGTTTTTCTTCAAAAAGCGCTTTCATAGGGTGTTTTTTTTAGAGGTATAATTTATATAATTCGTATACCTGCATTGTTTGCAACATATTATTTATATAAACCAGTTGCCATAACCTGTAATTCATAAACAGCGGTAATGCATTATAATCCAAAATATATATACACCATTTTTGTACCTCAAATTATATATAAACCATTGTTATCAGCATTGTAACTCAAAATCAGTCTTACAAAATCAACCCTAACAACAACTAAACCAGTCCTTATATGATTCTCTGCTCAATAAAATATTGACACAATTCCTCTTTGATTTCTTTCAACTGAAGTTTCGTGTAATATGCACATTTGTACTCATCGAAGTACCACATAACAAAACATAATATGCATGATTTAGTTAAAAGTGAAAAATTATATGAAATATCTGAGAAATAATAAAACAAATCCTAAGTTATAAATCCATACCGTGACTGGAATCTCTATTTGATTCAGTTGAAAGATTTCTTTGATAAACCGCATAACGAAGTATCCGCAATCTATACCGTTTTGCTGTTAAGGACACTACATAGAAAAACAAATAAGAATATATAGTTGTATTATTTTATCAAATAGCGTAACTATTATAAGCAAAATAGTGGAAATTAATATACCTGCACTTTGATCCAATTAATGTTGTTTGATTTAGACCGTCGTACCCGAGCTTCTCTTTGACACCGGAATACTTGTATCGCTCTAACAAAATAAAAATATATATTTAGACCAATGTCACAGAAATAATTAAATATATAAATACACAAAAATATTTAGAATAATCTCACTTACGTATCAATCATTAACTTTATATCCGGATAATTTGTCCAATCACCGTCAACCGAATTCAGATAATAGACCACTTCTTTTATAGGATCGATAGCAACCAACAACCAGTGACGTCTATAAATTAAAACAACAGTTTAGAAGAAATTTTTTTACGCAAAAATTACAAATATTAAAATGAACTTAGAATGAAAATCTAACCCTGTAGGAATAGTATTATACGCCCAAAGATATAAGCTTTCTGTACTGCCAGTTGCCATGAATCTTTCGACTAAGTGCTCTCTTACTGATTCCGGTTCCCTACCAATTGCCGCTCCGTTGACACGGGAGGAAGACACGAAATAGAATCTGTTTGAAAATTGATTCCCGCGTATCAATTTGTCATATAACAGCCTTAAATAAAAACATAATTAATATTAGACTATATTCATTGAAATGTTTAAAAAAGATTTCAGCTAATTACATAATATAAAGATGGGGTTACCGGATGTATGCGTGCATAATACTGACGCCCAATTCTTTATGACGGAAAATCTGTTCCACGTCCTCATGTCCAATTATTTCGGTGCAAGGAAAACCAAAGATACCTTGATCCATATCCATTTGACGAATACCACCATCCATCAAATCTGTTGTTCCCACTATTGTTTCAAGACACTACCGGTATCGAGGGAAAAATCTAGTAGGCACCCTTTTCTTGGGTGGTACGCCAACGATTTTCTGGCTCACTTGTTGTGACCCTTGAAAAGGTACCTAAAAATCATATAAACTCAGTTAAATTATAAAATTATGCAGTTTTTTATTCGGATCATATAATTAACACTTTAAACGTACCTCTTTTGGTGATAATCAGACTCGTCGTGCCGCAAAATCCCTTTACCCTTAGATGCGGGTGTTGTAGGAGTCTATAATTACCGTGGAAATAACTGAGGTCAGAACAGACAGTTGAAGACTTAAAGATTCATAATTGTTTTCAACATACCTGATCATCTATGAAAATGAGGTTTGATGGCCATGCAACAAAAGATCCTATTGCATCTCGCAGCAATGTGGTCTCAGCAACAATGCCAGGTACCGGCAGCAACGCATCCATATCTAAAGCAATGTCAACCGATACTTTCATGTGTCCATCCGGAAGCGGTCTATGGTGAAGTAAATCTCCCGAAGTGTTATGGACTTTTCCCTTGCCAACTAGTCGATAAGTCGGCGACGATAGGTATAGCTGGCAAGATGAAATGCCCTAAACCAATAATAACTGTTAGAAGTGACTAAAAATATTCTATAATAATAACGGATATATATTGAAAATTACCTCGGGAAATTTATGTTGACAGTTGATACTAGCTTTGTCACTAGTTTCTTTCAATTGTGAACTGCTCTTTTCCGCCATATATCTCTCTTTATCCTTCTGCAATTCACAGACTTGAGCTTGTAAATCCTGTGACACCCCAGATTAATTCAATTGTTAAATAATTAGGAATTTAATTATTAAATTAATTAAAGGCTTAATTAATAATATTTTGGATTAAATGGATGAATTAATTATGGAACTAAAAAGGAAGACCGGGGGGTGTAAGGTTGAATTAGAGGTGTGTGAAGTAAAAAGCTCTACTAAATAATAACTAATTTATTACTATTATTTGGAATATAATAATAAAAGGAAAAGAAGAAGAAGGTTATTTGGAAAAAGTCATTATACGTGAAATTGGAGAAGAGAAGAGAAGAGAGGAAAAAGCCAAACGCCGTGAATTCGAAGGATCATCGCGAGGTAATGGGTGATTTCATTTAGTTAATATGCCTTATAGGTTTTGGAATCAATAGGATTGATTAAGCCTGTTAGGAATCCCAATTTAGGATCGTTAGGTTTATGAAATTCAAACCCCAATTCCATGAATTTTTATGTTTAGATTCAATTGGATATTATGAGGAAATTGTATGATGTTATGGTGTGTTACAATCTCATTGGAATCATGCATTATAACTTATTTTGACATTGCTGTGAGTTGGATTCGAATGGGTATGAATTGGATGGGATTGGAGTAGTAAAATGCTGTCAAAAATAGCAGTTTTGGCTCTGCAGGTCGTGGGAACCGGTTCCCAGTGGGGAGGAATCGGGTTCCACTGTGCAAAGTTATAAAAACTGGCAAAATTGCACGTAGGAACCGGTTCCTGTATAGGTAGGAACCGGGTTCCCATACATTTTCCAGAAACGTGATTTTTGAACTTCGCAGGAACCGGTTCCTGCATATGTAGGAACCGGGTTCTGCTGTAACTTTTTGAAAAAAATATTAAACTTTAAAAATCCGTAACTTTCAAACCGTAATTCCATTTTAGTCGCCGTTTTGGACGTTGTTTCTTAAATTAAATACTCTATTTTATAAAATGAAGAAAATAACTGTAACTTGATTTTATTTTGGAAATGTGTTGACTTTCCGATTATGCGGTTTGTTATTATGTGCATATTTGGTGTATATGCAATGGTGTATCCATGATAATTGATTGTATCGGGTCTTGGTGGATGAAGTGCATGTTTATGCTATTTGATGTGTGTATGATAAATAATGATATCATGTTTTTTTGGTTTTGGTTCAGTTATGATAAATTGATGTATTTCATAGACTGATTTGATGTTGCATGCTGGTGATGTGCGTGCATATGCATTAGTTTGGTGAAGTTAATTCCCATTGTGTGGAATTTGACTTGTATTGCCGTTAACCGATACCCGGGTGATGATGGGTGGTTAGGCTGGATTCGTGTCCGGGTGTTTATGGACGAATTGATGGTTGCTGTATCCGGTTGATGATGGATCAGTGTTGGGTGACTTGGTCACGTGTTGGTACCACATGCATTGTGTCTGCATTTGTGTTTGCATGGAATTGTAACATGTTAGGATGTCTTCAAGTGTTACAATTCTTTGGTTGATTATTGATTT